AAATTTCCTGCCTTGCTGACTGGGATGCCAGCTGGCACTAACTCTCACCTCTTTTAAAGAGAAAACTTTTAAATGTTTACTTCCAAACTTAGGGTTCCAAGTCTACCATGTGATGACTGCGACCGTAAATATTTTGGTCTTTATGTATGTGTATATATATATATTGACCTCCTAAAATAGATGGTCTTTTAATATTTAAAAAATTATATATTTAGGTTCAATAATAATAATTTTAGTTTAATTTTTATTTTTAAGATAAAAATTTAATTGAGAATTTAACATACCAAATAAATGTTAATTAATTTTTCTTCTATATATAACCCTAAATTTTTTTAAAATTGTCATTTATATATTATATTAAATTTTTATTAAATCTCTCTATCTTCAAAAGTAAAAGAATTTAAGCTAGGACTACTATTATTAAATGAAGATAGTAAAATATATAAAATATTTATTTTAATTAATATTTTATATATTTTTACAATAAAAAAAACAAAAACAAAACAAAATCAAAACGACACAGCCTTACAAAGCAATCCAAATGAAATTTTAGTTGTCTTACCTTTTATTTTTGTAAAGATGTTAAATGCTTTGTTCTAATTTAGTTGATGAAAAATACATTAAAACTACACTATTTCAATAAAAAGAATACTTGTTAGTTGCGACTGAAAAAAATTTCTAGTTTTTAATGTCAAAATTACGGCATTTCATTAAAAACAATTAAATTCTCACCCGAGGATGAAGGTTAAATAGCGTATATTTTAAAATAGAGCTTGAAGTTTTATCTATCATTTTTTTTTCTACTAACCTCTCGGTATTCGATAATTATATTGAATCCCAACTAATCCAAAATTGAGTTGCATTGGACCTCATTTGGGGAAAACTCTCTCGGTATCTATTTCTCCATTTATAAGGCTTGAATTCAAGATCTTATTTAAGGGGAATCGAACTCTTTCTACTCGGATCAACAGATCGTTGGTTTTATTTATCAATTAAAAATACGTAAATTTGGGGTTAGTGATTGCAATTTTTTTTTTTTTTTTCAGTCTTGACTTATGAACACCATTCCCTTTCAATAAAGTCCCATGAAAGAAGAGTAAAATAGCCATTATTTTTGCCCTAAAATATGTTGTTTTAGTTTTTGTTTAAAAGAATTTGTTTAAACAATGTATTTTTATACTGTTAATAATTTAAATAATTCAGTGGCAATCTCCTTCTATTAAAAGTAAAAAGTCTTAAATTTGAATTATATAACATGCGGGTAGAGTGAGATAAGGGATGAAAAAATATTGCCTCCCATTGTACAACTAACATGAAAGAAAAAAGTATTTTTTTTTCCCAAATGTTTTTAAATTTCAATTAAAAACATTTTTTATAGTATTCCCCAAAGATTTTTTTCTAGGGAAATGATATTTACACACCCTCCGTCATACACTCATTCCATTTCCGTTTCTCTCCATTTCTTCCGTTAACCCAATAGCTCTCTTTTTCACCCAGCACTGGTTCTTTGATTTTCAGCCTTCCTTCTTTCCCCTCTTCCTCCTTTCTTTTTGTTATTCTTTCCCTCTCCTCCCCTCTTCTTCCTTCTCTTCCTCCCTCTTTGATTTGTTGAGGAGAACCCAATTTGGGTTCTTAAGGAAAATCCCGATTTGGGTTCTTAAGGAAAACCTAGATTTGGGTTCTCTTGGAGCTCTCTAGGAGAACCTAGATCTGGGTTTCTCCAGATCGAGTTGCAAAACCCAGACCAGGTTCTGGATTTGGGTTCTCAAGATGGAGAGAAAAAAAAAAAGACGAAGAAGGAAAAAGGAAGAAGATAATGAACTTTTTAGAATTTTTACAAATTTGATAATATAGTATGGTGTTTGATTGATAAGAAAATTGAAAACTTTTCTCCAACATTTCAAACCCAAGTCAATTAGAACAGCAAAAGGGAGAAAGGAAAGTAGAGAGAGCAAGAGGAAAGCAAAGATAGGGAGAAAGGAAAGCAGAAAAAGTAAGAAATGATGTCTGGAGATAACGGATTGCGTAACAGAAAGTGAAGGTGTGTGGTGAAAGGTGTAAACGAAGAGGGTAAATGTATTATAATCATTTTTTCTATTGGATAAAGTTGAATGTAAACAAAATGAATAATGATAAGGAGGACAAAAATTTTGAGCTTATATTACGTTATTAAATTAATTAATACATATAATATTATAAGTTTTAAAAAAA